CCCCCCCCCCGGTGTCCCCCCCCCCCCCCCCTGTCTCCGTCCTGACATGTCACTGAGGGACGGGTGTGTTGTGCACAGATCACGTTAAAGTGTTCATTATTTTCACGTTCATCTTTGCAGCGACCCTTCACTTGGACTTCCTGCCCCCCCTTCTCCCCCCTCCCGCCTCTGCTCCTCTTCCTCCTGGTGTTAAACTGTTGAAGTGTCTGCTGTTTCCTCCCCGGACGCTCCGTGATTGATCGCTTCATTTGTTGTCTGAAGCTTGAACGTAACCTCTCCATTAACACACATTCTCCTCGTGTGTGTGTGTGTGTGTCCTTTGATTGATGGTAGATTCTGCTTCACACTGATTTTGAGTCATTTTATTGGATGATATTGAATCAGTGGTCCTAAATACTTGTCCTGAAAACATCTGGACTTCATTAACATGGACCAGGACGATGACAAAGGTCAAAGAGGTCACAGAGGACGGAAAAAGATGGGATGTAAGGTACAAAGTGACCTCTATTTGGACAACAAGGTTTAAGACCTGAGTCAACAAGACTTTGAAATACCTGGTCTGATAAGATCCCTTTAAGGAAGACTTGATCAAAGAAGATCTAACGAGACACTGATCATGAAGGACCTTCTCCTTGTCTGTTGGTCTTTATCAAAGAAGACCATGAGAACAGAAGACCTGGTCTTGATCTGATCAGATCCTGATCTCACTGGAGCGCATCGACACCGGTTGGGTTTGATCAAAGAAGATCTAACGAGACACTGACCATGAAGGACCCTCTCCTTGTCTGACCATGAGAACAGAAGACCTGGTCTGTCAGATCCTGATCTCACTGGAGCGCATCGACACCGGTTGGGTTTCGAAATCTCAATGTGTTTAGCTGCATTTTTCATGCGATTCCTCTAGAGGCAGCATCAGTGCCGAAACCCTGACCCACTAATCCAAATGGAATGTAGGCCGTGAGCTCTAAGTCACAACTTCTGACCCATTTACATATCAGCTAACTCTGTTTTATCCCCTACTTCTGGGCCTCCTCGGTTCTTGGTGGGTTCTCCAGAGAGAACAGAGAACAACATCTGTCCTATTTACAGCCGGAGCTAAAATCCCCCAGAAGAACCAGAACAGAGAAGGTATTTTTGGTCCTCTTCATTGACCTGTTTACAGTTTAAAAAAAAAACATTCCATCATTCAGAAAATGATCAAAATTGACATAAACTCTCTTTTTAGAAACTTAGCTGCAAGAGGGCGCTGTTTAAAAAGCAGTGAACTTGTTCTCTGACGCTGTCTTTTTATGCTGACTTTTTTTAACTTTCTACTACTCTCCTCTGTTAGTAAAGCCTATCCTTCATCCCTGTGTAGCGTGAGCTGCTCCACAGGGATTATGGGTAATATAGTCTGTGCAAAAATCAAACTATCACTGGTTAAAATCTCATTTAAAATCAGTGATGTAGACCCAGGCCGGCTCCAGTGAGAGACGCCGCCACAGACAATTGAATGAATTGTAAAAAAAATAAATAAATAAATAAAAAGAGAGCAGGATTAGAGCGGACGACTCCCAAAATCCCACGGGATTTCCTCCATTTCTGCCTCCTGCAGGCTTCCCTTCATCCATTTTTAATGAGCTCCCCCTCAAATCAGGTCTCTCCTCTTTCCTACAGGCCATAATTAACTCTGAGGAGATATTTGTTTCACTCCAAGACGGGATTGTGTTTCCTCTTAATAATAGTACTATTTCTCCTGATGCTACTGCTGTTGTTGTCAACAAGGACAACAGAGACGCCACTGCGTAGAATGTTTGCTCTCAAATCATTTTATTTATTTACACTTTTTTTTTAAGTATTGCACCTACTACTCTTGGTTATAGTAACACTTACTGCCAGTGCTTCTTATTGGAGTAGTAGTCAACACCCACTTTTACAAATACTACTATCAAAACTGGTGAACAATACCTCCTACTATCACTGATGTTAGCATTGGGTAATATTAACTCCTGCTAGTAGTATTTTTAGGATGAGCAATTACTGCTAACACCCACTGGTGCCTCATCATGATCAGTTAATCACTAACTGAGTAATTCCTACTGTACCGTGTTTTGATCGGCGAGACTAATAAGATACCGACACGATACCATTATATTTTTGGCGTTAGCACGAATATACCGACCTCTATAACACGTATATATTACTAACTGAAATCTTATATGAGCTAATGCCTCGTCAACTACTACTGTTTTTTTTTTTATTAGAAAGAGCCCATATATCACATCTGTGTTTTTAATCCTTATGAAACCAGCAACGAATAACGTCTATTGACGTGAGTTCATAAGTATCCATTTAATACTTGTGAATACCATTTTTAATATTAAAAACATTTTTGAGACAGTAAATTGTAATTGTTAATATAATGTTTAATGTTAATTGGGTATATTTTTTATTAAGGATTAAAAAGCGTTCTATCTTTTACTCCTAAATGTAACATAGTGGGTTTTTTGTTTTTACAGAAACATTTTGCAAATGATGGATATAAAATAGTGGCTACTTCACAGGACAATAACAGACATGAATCATTGTTCAACTCCTTGTCAGATTTGTTCAGTTCAGGCTCTGGTGTAAAAATGTAAGATGAATGAATGTTTTGTTGTTTGTCATTTCTTCTCTCTTTCAACAGCTTGCTCAAACTCACCGGGTACATTTCCCTCCTCCTGCAGTCTCCCCTCCTTTACCTAATCATCATCACATCCATATTCATGCGCACACACAAATGTGCCTGGAGCTCGGGCGTTTTCTTTTCCCCCGGGGAAAGTCGGCACGCAGTCTGCAGCTCTGATGAAATAAATCCTCATCAGTTCGGTTAAAGCTCAACCACGTCACAACAAGTGAACGGCACAGTGTGAGGCCGTAGACTCTGCAGTCGGAGCCTCCACCGGCCTCCAGGACACTGCAGAAAGAAAGGATTATTAGCATAAACTCATCCTTACTGGAGGATTATGGGATATTAGTGTCACTTTATCTGCTTAAAGCCCCCTAAACAGTGTGTGATAAAAGTCTGCCTGTCCTGCTAGAAAACCTGCCCCTGCATTTACTTCAAACAAATGTCTGCCTTATAGAATCATTTCATTTAGAAATGTTAATTAATTCTCATTATTGTTCAGTGAGAACTAATTGTCTCAAATACAGCCCCGGCCTTAACGACCTCCGCATTAATGACATTATCCAACAGGAAACCAAAGTTTTTTTATTAGCTCGCTCCGCCACACCAAAGTCCATGAAGAAGATCAGACAATTAGTTTACAGGGACACAGGAGCTGCTGGGCCACTGCTGCCTCCTGTGGTCAGTGATGTCATTGATGTTAATCTAAATTAATGATTTCCAACAGCAATGTCAAAAATTAACACATTTAAAATAACTATTAGAAGCAAAAGTAGACCAAGAACTCCTGTTTTTCAGCGAGCTTAAATCGTTGATTTTCTCTAAGGGCTTTGGTGTGGCAGAGTGACGTTGTTACAAACTTTGGTTTTTCTCTTTTATTCTTATAAATCAAAGCCTTAACTGACTTTTTTTTTATCTGATTTTTAGAGTCTAGTTTTCACTGAGCACCAGCCTGCATGCTCTAGCAACAGGGGGCGCTCACAGTGTTGTCTACATTCAAATGACTTTGAATGCTTCTCTACAATTTCACAGTTGATCGAAAGGGAACTTTTTTTTTATTCTGAAAATATAATTTAAATATTAGAGAAAAAAAATAAACACAGATTTTTTTTCATCTTTGAATCATTGTCCTCCTCTTCCTCCCCCTGCTTCTGCCCTTCCTCTCAATCAATACCCACTGAGTGCTGAGACGTGTGGCAGCTCAGGGACTCTCCCTCATTAATAATGAATACACCCTGTGATCGGCTTTAAGGTGTGTGTGTGTGTGTGTGCGTGTGGGTGTGTGTGAGTCCATCACAATCTGGACAAATAAAAAAAACAACCTTTTTCTCCCCTGATCAAAACAACAGCACACCAAGGTTTTTTTTTCAAACATTAGTCTTTTTATTTTTGGTTATTTACTCTTTTTCCATTTTAGCAATCTTATTTTCTTTATATCTCAGTAGGTTTTATAATTTGTGAAGTAACAACCATCTGTTAAAAGTGGGATAAACTATCTATAATAGAGCTTTTTTTTAAACTTTCTATCTATTTTTTATTTTAAAATCTCTTTTGATATACATCTCTCTTCTTTAGATGTTTTGTTTGGAATAAATCCTCTTTTTTTTTTTTTTTTTAAGCAACATCCCCATAAACAAACAAAGAGACAAACCGACCGACCAACAAACAAACAAAATACATATCACTCAGGAACCGTGTTTGTGCCTCAGCCTGGGAATAAAGAAAGCTCAGATTGATTTATTTTCTGTCTTTGTGTGGTTTATGACGCTACTGGACTGTCAGCATTTTCTAAACATACAGACCTAAAATATATATTATATATATTTATATATAAATATCACCTCAAAGCTCCTCTAGTGTGAATCACTGGCACATGAAAAAGGGGGGTGTGCTAAATGACAACAGTCGTATCGCTCTCCAGCCACGGTTTTATTATTATTATTATTATTATTATTATTGTTATTCATATTATTGTTATTATTATTGTTTTAGCTACACTGGCCAAGAAGTCACTGCTTTGTATTGCTGTTGGCCTTCAGAAATATTTTTTTTTCCAACACATTTTTACTGAGACCAAGAAAACTGAGGAAACTAAAATGTTTTTCTTCTTTTTAAACTTGAAAAGATTTCAGGAAATGAGCACAACAACAAGGTAAAACTCAAAAGACTTCACCTGAATGAAAAAGTTACACTGATCTAAATACAGGAAAATAGTTCTGTGAATGGAACAGTAAACTTAGCTACATGCTACGTTCACCTCATGGCTGCGGTCAGATTTAAACCAACCAATTTTTTTTTGACATCATCTGATTTTATGCTAAAAACTAAATTGTATAAAATGTTAATGGTTTTGACTCATATGTCCACTGTTAGTTAGACTGTTAATGCAAACTCCTTCTCTCATTTGTCCCATCGACACTTGCTAGCCTTGACTTAGTTAGCCTTAGTTAGCAGACCATGCTAACTCCAGAGTCATTAGCTGCTGCGTTGAGAGTGCAGCTAAAACTGTTAGCAGAAGAACATTAGGTGTTTACTTGTTCATATATATTGGTCTATTTTGGTTTATCCACTAAACCAAACTGTTAATTAGACCAACGTTACCTGTTGCTAACCTAAAGCTAAAAGACACGATTAGCTTGTTTTAAGACAACCCAGCTGGTGTACAACAAACTATTCCTTTTAGCAGGTAAGCTCATCTCTAGGCCAAGCTAAACTGCTAAATGACTGAGACAGGGTACAGTTAGCTACGACAACGAACCCAAATCCATTTGTTATATCCAGTAAAATGAATCGTTTGCTATTGTCACAACTGTTTAATTCAACGCTTTTCTTCTCTGGAACTTTTCTGAACTTTGATTGATAACAGTTTTGTGAACTGGTAGCAAACACCACACATATGTTTAAGCTACATGAAACCATTAGCCATCCTTTTTGCTTTTGCTGCTAAATGACTTGCTTTATATTTTTGTTCTACCTGCTCCGTCATGTGGTTATATATTGACTTGTGCTTTGAATGTGCTTTGACTAAGTCAACCACCAGCAACGTTACGCTAACACGTCTAAACTTAAAGCTAAACGTATAGCTGCCTTCGTTTTAATTGCGGGACCAAGGTCGGACCAGCATACACGGTCACGACTGCTGTTCCTCCATAGTCTTAGAGCAAAACATGCCAGTGTGTGCTCACCTCCTGAAATGATTGAGTTGAACTGACAGAATTCATGCACGTTTTACAGTTACGTTTAACAAAAACAGGAGGCGCTGTTGCTCCGCTAGCCTATGTCACCTTCAGAGCCGGGGGGGATTTATTTAAAAGATGTGTGGTGTAGGAAAATGGTGTTTGACACCTAACGTAAAACACTGTAAACTCAAATACATGCAGGGTTCGCGGCCAACTGTGAGCTGCTGCGTTAGAGTCAGGAAATAAAACTGTAAAATGTCACCTGTACAGAAAAAAAACAACATTTTTTTACCAAGAAAGAACCACATCTTCACTGTCCAAACTTACTTACGTCACGTGGAGAAAAGAAAAAGTGTGTGTGATGTAAATGAGGTTAGCGCTCTGTGACTGACTCCAGGCCGTGATTTTGTCTTATTGATTTCACAGGGCTAAACTCACAGATACCTGGGGCTAGGATGGAATGTGAATATATATAAATATATGTATACTGCTAGCGTGTTAGCAGCAGCAGCAGCAGCAGCAGCAGCTGTCTGGACCGAGCCGCTGAACATGAATAATTCAGGGTCAACTTTAATACTGTTGTAATTCCACGACTGCAAGCGGGGGCCGAGAATCCATCAAATTTTCATCATTGTCATCGTTTCAGCTCAACGACCTGTTGAATATTTCATGCCATCGACCGGGGTCAGGTCAGCCTGTGATTGGACGAGGCACTGCCGGGGCGCAAGCCTGCAGATGTCCTGAGACGGCGACGCAGGCCGCGGCCTGATGCCGCTGTAGAGTGATGATGTCAGGATTAGAATCCAAGTTGGGGAACAGTTTGATGACGTGTGGACTCGGTCAGTGACGTGTGTTCAGTGTTCTCAGAGCAGCCAGGACGCTTTTTCTCTTCTCTTCTCTGTTTTGTTTTTATTTTTTGCCTCTATTTTCTTCCTATTTTCCCTTGGTGATTTTTCTTCTTCTCTGTGTTAAAACGCCAGCCAAGTCAGTATGGTGGGCAGCGTGCTGAGGACCAAGGCGAGGCCCCTGGAGTCGGAGGATCCCGGTGCTCCGTTACCGCTGCCACACAGTTCAAACAAACTCCCGCGGAAATCCAGGTTGCGGGACTCCGTTTTCAGTTTCTCCCACAGGTCCGTGGCCCCCTCCTGGCAGTCGGCCAGCGCCGTCGTGGCACATGAATGGAAATTATCCCAGTATCTGGCGAGAAAAGAGGAAGGAAAAAAAAAAAAAAAAGAACACAGCGAGCGTTAGCATCACAGGCGGGAGGCAACAGTCAGTCAGGAGGCAGAGCCAAGAGTGGAAATCATCCCAGAATGTGGCAGCAGAGAAAACAAAGTGAGCAGAGTCTGAAGACACAGACGGTGGAGACGCCAACCAACGCTAAACTCTTTCTGACTTCTGTCAATATTACATTCTACTTTTTTCATCTGATAGCCTGGATCCTTTGAAATTTTTATTCATTTTATTACGAGCTGGACTGTGAGCGCCCCCTGGTGCTTGGGAAGCACAGGCTGGTTGCCAGGTTAAACAGTGATTTTTTTCCACTAAGCAAAACCTCAGCTTATAAAATCCACATCCTCCAAGGCACTTAGGAAACCCGAGAACTGAAGTGGTGACTTTTTTTGACTGTAAGGCAAGTGCACTAACCGC